TTAGGCCAGCTTTCCGGGAAATGGGCTTTCAGGCACCTCCTATATTATACATACCTCTGAACTGTATTTCTGGAGTGAAAAAAATGTCACACAAATAAATTGTGTTCTTTTTTGTAAGACTCTTTATAGCACTGTGTTCACAATATTAAAAGATTAGGATTGTGTTAACACATATTATAATTCTTTAAATATGTTGTGGATATTTTTTTAATCTTCTGCCCTGAAACTGATATTTATTTGGCTGCATGAAAGCTTGTATAGTACAGTGGTTCTCAACCAGGGGTACGCGTACGTCTGGGGGTATGCAGAGATCTTCCAGGGGGGGTACATCAGCTCATCAAGATATTTGCCTAGTTTTACAACAGGCTACATAAAAAGCACTAGTGAAGTCAGTACAAATTAAAATTTCATATAGACAACGACTTGTTTATACTGCTCTATGTACTATATACTGAAGTGTAAGTACTGTGACGGGTTGGACCCCCCTGCCCAGGATGCCTCCTGATATGCTGGGGTCCCACTGACCCCACCCGTTCCACCAGCTTGGGCTTCCTCCCCCTGTTCTTGCTGTGCCAGGCCCTCAAGCCTTCTCTGGCATACACACAGGTAAGGCCACACCCAGCTGTAGACACAGGCTGAAATCAGCTCTGTGTAGGAGGATTTAGCTGAAAAGAGAGATCTGTACCTCAAAAACTCATAAAAATTGCCCCCTCTCTCAATGTGGAGGAAGATATGCACAGCCCTCTCCCCCACTCCCGCCCCCGATATGAATTGCACAAAATGGGGTTTGGAATAAACAAAAATAAGTTTATTGACTATAAAGGTAAACGTTAAGTGATTATAAGGGATAGCAAACAGAACAGAGCAGATTACTGAGCAAATAAAACAAAACACGCAACCTAAACTTAATTCACTAAAGAAACAAGTTACAAATAGCAATTTCTCACCCTAAATGTTGTTTTAGGCAGGTTGCAGAGTCTCTGCAGTTAGAGTTCCAGTTATTTCTCTTCACAGGCTAGACCCCTGGCTTAGTCTGGATTCAGCCCTTGCTTTTCCTGAGCTTAGTTCCTTTGTTTCTTCCAGTGCTTTCAGCAGTCTTCCTTCTTGGGTGGGGAGGCAGTGGAGAGGAGCTGGCCACCTTGATTAACTTCCTTCCCATCCTTAAATAGGATTTACATATGGTGGGAACCTTTTGTTTCCCAGTCTGATCCCCATCCCCTTCAGTGGAAAAGTACCAGCTCAAGATGGTGCCCTGTACCAGGTGACATGATCTTGCAGTGTCAAAGCAACCATGAGACAAGGTTTACTTGTAATGTGCACAGAAAGGAACTCCAGGAAGATGGGAGCATCTTCAAAGACCCATTTCATTGTCTTTTCTAATGGCCTGTTCAGGCTGATTGTCTACTGTCTTGTGGGTGTTCCCCAAGTACACACACAGTTGTAATTGTTACATAGTCAATATTCCTAACTTCAGATACAGGACTGATACATGAATACAAATTGGATAACCACATTCAGCAAATCATAACCTTTCCAATGATACCTCACATGACCCATCTTGCTTAAAACATATCTCAGTTATGCCATATTCATATCATAACATTTTATTAATAATATGGGGTGCAGTGTCATAAGTACAATAGTAATATTCTAATTGATTTATTTTATAATTATATTGTAAAAATGAGAAAGTAAGCAATTTTTCAGTAATAGTGTGCTGTGACACTTTTGTATTTTTGTGTCTGATTTCGTAAGCATGTAGTTTTTAAGTGAGGTGAAACTTGGTAGTACGCAAGACAAATCAGACTCCTGAAAAGGGATATAGTAGTCTGGAAAGGTTGAGAGTACTGGTATAATAAACTAAATGATGTCTTAAAGGCAAATAAATGCAATGTAAGTACATAAAAAAGAAAAAAAATGACTTGTCATGAAGTATCTAAGATTGTGGCTGTCTTGATTGTGGAATTATGAGGTAGAACTAAGGGAACTAACTAACTCTGGGCTCCATGTGTCAATGAAAGCTTTAACTGATATGTCTCTATTAAAATGGTATCAATAGGATAATCTATGTAACTTGCTGTCTTAGGTTGCTAACGTGGTAACATATAACATGTATTTTTCATACATGTTTGCAAGTTGAGGTAGAGATCGGGGCAGAGTGGAGGGGAGAAACTCTAGAGCTTGCCTCAACCTGCTAACACATGTTAAAAATACAACTGCCTTGTCATCAGTAGGGTTTTACCTTGTGTTAGTTGTAAATGTACAATGTGTTAGCTAGCACAAGATAAGAACACACCTTGTTTCGTAGCAAAGACTTAGGTAATTTTCACCACATTTGGGAATGTTTCCCTCCTTTGTTGAAGGACATCCATCTGCATCCCACCTAAATTACCATCTCCTCAAGATGCCTGAAATTTTGTGAATTCACATTGCAGATCTTGCCAACCTTAAATGACAGAGCCATGAAATCCAGCCCTTTCATTCAAATTCTGAGATTGGTGCAGTGTAAGTGAAGGCGGAATAGGACCCTAAAGGTATTTTGTGTCATTGTTTCCATTATAGAACTATGTGGGTAAAAGACTTGGATTTGACAGCAGCAGAAGAAAGAGGATATTGTATGCATGCCTTCAGCTTTGTATTAGGTCCTTAAAAGGAAAATTATGTGAAAGACGGGAAGAAAACAACAAATGAAGCAAGATCCCTATTTCAATATAATTTGGAGAAAATAACTGATTTGGGTTGGTCATGTTGCCAGGATAGATGACTCAAGACTTCCAAACAAGAAATGGAAACCAGAAGGATGCCTAAAGCCTGAAAGAAGAACAAATTGAGAAGATATGATTGACTGTAATGTTTCAAAATCAACTATTCCAAAGATGAGTTTGGGCTGTTGCCCAGAATACAATTGAATGGTGATGTTCATTTAGATCCTTAATGCTGAAACAAAATAAAACACTGTAGTTATGTTTCTGTTAGACATTTACTTCTTAATTCTTTCCAATTTTCCCAAATTTGGGATCTGATGTCACTTCCTCTCTCTTTTACTACATGTTGCAATGATTGTCGCTGCTGCTCTGTAATTTTTCTGAATACCAGTTTTCTGATGAAGGCCTGCATCTAAGGCTTTGTCTACACTACAGAGTTTTGTCAACAAAAGTTATGCCACTTTAATTAAATCACTGTTGCATGTCCACTCTATGCTCCTTGTGTCAACAATGTGCATCCACACTAGCAGCTCTTGCATTGACACAGAGAGCAGTGCACTGTGGGTAGCTATCCCCCTGTCCAACTGGCTGCAGGATGCTTTGGGAAGGGTTTGCAATGCCTCATGGGGCAGGTACAGCATCACATGATGCAGGTTTCTCAATCGATCGTTCCATGGGCATCCTACTAGATTGACAGCTGCTTTTCAACTTAAGGTGGGGGGCGGGGGACAGGGAGAGTGTGTGACAGGGAGTGTGAAACTGAAAATTGCTTGATTCATAGCAGAATATTGTTTTCCTAACCTGTTTCCCCACTGCTAAGGGAACAAATGCATTTCCCTTCAACTCTACTTCCATGTCCTCCTCATGCACATTCCCCTCACACTTATCCCTAGGCCTACAAAGAGCAGGGAGTGTGATAGGACTTATATATATAACTGTATATATGTGATTATATGAAACTAGTTCATAGAAGGAGCACCATCTACTGGCATGTAAGAATATGTAACATCGTTCATAAGTTTTTAAGACCAATAAAGTTGTTGTTGTCCATTGCAAATGGCTACCTGATTACACAGCTCTTAACAAAGAGGGCCTTTGGCAGAGATGGCACTCCTCCCTTCTCTATGGTGGAGGCAGATCTGGGAATGGATCTGTGGAGCACTTTCTCTCCTTTAGTTCTGTATCTTCTCACTACACTGAAAAACCATAAAGTCTGTGCTGGTGAATGAATTTTAATTATTACCATATTTAAAATATTTTTGTATAAACTGAAAACTGATGTATTAAAACCAGTAAGAACAACACTATTTATATAGGTTTATGTAGTTGTAACTGAGCTCACTTGGGCTTACAGTGAGGTTTGAATCTGTGTCTTAAGCATGAAGGCCAAAATTCAGCAAGGTATTTAAGCATGTGCTTAATTTTAAGCATGTGAGTAGTTCCATGGAAAGCAATGGGACTAACAACATGATTTAAATTATGCATGTGTATAAGTGCCTTACTAAATTGGGGGCAAAAAGTAGAAACCTCTACCACTTAAACTGGGACTAAGTCCCAAACCTAGCTGTACAACTCATTAACCTCTTATGGGGACCAGCCACTAGATTGGGACAAAGATCCACACTAAGGGAGTTACATTATATCACCCAAACGAATTTTTAAGATGAAAAATTTGCATTTCAGTCAATTCTATATGACTAGCTAACTTTGTTATGCTTTTCTTGAAGTAGTTACAAATTTTATCTTTAAAATTAAATTATCAAATAAAATGTCCTTCGTACATTTCAACCAACATTTAGAACCAAATTGGCCTTTATCCAGCCTCTGAACGGGTGCCTGCCGTTTTTTGTGTGCAACTTTCTGAATATGCTTTTTGCCCCTCATATCCACATTTTTGGCCCTAACTTTTCTATTTTCATCGTTACTGTGGAAAGAAGGGGTAGCTAAGAAGTTCAGAAAGAACGATTAAACTAAAATGATTGTTCTTCATTAACAAGAAGTTTCTTCTTTTCTTTTAAACAGGTTTCTAAACTGTACTGGCTGTGTGGATTGCATTTTTGTTAACTCGTTGCTGCTTCCAGTTGTCATTCCACCACTGTATAGTGGAAATGGTAGCATGTTAGTTACATAATAAGCAAGAAAACAGAGTTTCACTATTGACAGTGAGGGTTGTTCTGAATAATTAGGAATGCTCTGAGATTAGTTACTTTATTCTGAAATGAAAATAGAATTCCCTGTTGGCTAATGCTCTTTCATACATGTGTACAAAAAACTCTTTGTTTGTTTCTCCAATAGATGGTTTGGTTTCTACAAAGGCATACTCCCTCCTATCATGGCTGAAACACCCAAAAGGGCAGTGAAGGTAAAGCACTATATTTCCTCCTTTTAAAAATAAGTGTTATAGTAACTAACATCGGTAACAGTAAAATGTCCTATTTGTCCCTCACCAAAGAAATGTGCCGATTGATGTTAGAATTAAGACATGATCCTCTAGTCTTTACTTAGGAAAAAAAACTCTTACTGATGACAGAATGGAAATTTTGCCTGATTAAGGACTGAAGCATCAAGCTCTTAATTACTAAGTATATAGTTAAGCAAGATGCATGACATTACTAAAGAACAAATTATGACTTCAAAGTAATATTTTATCCTAATATGTTTTGCTTTTTATAGAAGTTTTACTTCATTATGAATCCTCAGCAACATGCAAAAGAACTAATCCTAGGAATATGTATGTGTATGAATGCAAACATAAAGGAAACTCTTCAAAGTAAACATTTATTAAGCATTATGTCAGTGCAGTTCAAGTGCCCTCTTCCTGCTGTTTTCCTATACTCTGAGAACAATCACTCAAAAAAAACAAGCCCTCCTATACCCTTCTGTGTATTACAGTCACCCATATTAATAGACAGAAATCCCAATCCTGCAAACAGTTATTATGCCCTTTAGCTCTGTTATAGTAGAAATAAATTAATACTGACCTATCAAATTGCCTTCACTATTAAATGATAACTTTATTTGTTCTGATATGCTTCCCTCATTCTCTACATTGCTTCTTACAACTTTACTTTTATTAGGATGTTTTAAAATCTTTCAACACACAATTGTGGAGTTTTCTGCATTAATATTTTTTGGTTCTTCAGTTGAATGTGTACATGTAGAAGGACCTCCTGTGCATAATGCTGTTCATTGGATTTTCTCTCTTTTTTGTTTTACTTTCCCCAAAGGCCCCAGATCAATCTGGGCCTTAGTCTGCCATCAGTCATTACACAATGTTCCCATTCACTTATGTAGGTATTACATGTGTGTAAAATGATAGAATGTAGCCCCATCGCGTAATCCTAAAGAAGATCTCTTGGTAGAGTCCTGCTGTTATTATCATTGTGGATACAAATGAGACAATCACTGTCTCTTACAATTATTGAATATGACAAAGAAAAACTATGGCTGTATTTAATTTGGAATTGCAGTACAGAGTCGAAGGTTGAAATTTTGAAACCCTCCTAATGACTTGGATCATGTGCTTTCTTTTCTTCACATTAACTTGATAAAAGGTCAGAAAGTCAGTCTGATGGTTGCTTCTGAGCACAAGTACTGGTATATATTTAGTAAAAGGGTAGGTTTAGGCACTGGGCTAGATTCCAGTACTGCCAACCCCAATCATTCAGAAGTCATGAGTCAGGCCGGCCCCAAGTGATGAGATTGTCTTAAAAATCATTCGATGTTAAAGAATAATAAATGTGAGGATCTCTCTGCTCTCTGGTTTTTGAGCTGTTAGGATGCACATTTTCTACATACTTTTGATAATCATGAGAGCTAAAACTTACACCTTTTTGTTTTTGCTAAATCAAGGCTGATATGCTCACATAATAACAGGATTCTTGGTGCTGAGGCTTTAAGAAAAACACCGACTATCACAAGAATCTCAGTAAAATTGTGAGAATTGGCAATGCTGAGATCCTTTGCTTCCCTTAAGTTCCTTTGCACGGCTCCTGTGGGCATAAAAAGGATCTAAAGCTGCCTAAATGCAGCAGCACTATTCCACAGAGGGGGCATTTCAGTGGCAGGAGGGGTCAGGATTGATGGAGCAACTTGCTGCAAGCTGTTACCAGACAGCACAAGTTATAGCATCCTGCTTAGAGCTCTGTGAAACCCATGGACATTGGGCTAAAGAGAATCTAAGTAGATTCAAAATTCCTTTAGCTTTTCTTGGATATGAACAAGAAACACCAAGGAAGATCACTGGTTTCTTAGATTCATTTTTCTCCTTCCCTTCCTCAGTAGCCCCCACTCACTCTAACAGGCCTCGGGATACATCCTTCCCATTTAGGTATGCTGGGTTGTGAAACTGTTGGTGATCTGGACCACAACATCCATGCAAAAGACTTTGAGGCTTGAGCAGTAACTAGGGAAACTCCAGCTTTTCCCTTTCACCATCAGTGAGGGAGCCTCAACAGTGGGAAGGGCATTTTCTGGTTTCTGGCAGTGTGGTTTCTGGTTTGGTGGTGAATATTTTTCACAGCTCCAATTGTACAGGAAGGGTGACTTGAATTATGAAATGACTGCACTAATTAAAGATCACCAAGATAAACAAACAAGGCAGAGTTCCTGCTGAGAAGAAATGTAACATTGTCTGCATGGAATAATGTATTCGCTGGATACATCTATTTGCATGTAAAAATAAAGCCATTAAAACCAAAGTGTTCTGATGCAATATTTTACTTTAAAGCTAGGTGTCAGAGACCTGGGTTCACCTCTGAAGAAGTTTGATCCTTTGTCTGTCTGTCTTTGTGTCTCTTTCTCTCCATCTCTCTTTTTTCCTTTCTAAAAAGAAAGCTGGTATTTCTGAAGGATGAAAACTTTATAACCCTGAGTTAGCTTGGGCTTGGATAACAGAAATCGGTGGTGCCAGTACAATGGTTAACAGATGAACTTTTTGGGAAAATGTATATTGTGCATATGTTCCCAGACATCTTGTTTCAAGCATATTTTAACCTTAAAGTTATTGAGACATATGGTAAGTACTTTGGCTTTTTTCTGTGTAACATAGATTTAAGTGTATCTTTGCCAGATGGGCAGTATTGGTTATTAAATATATGAATGCATATATTTTAAATATATGTTTCTTTGGACTTTTTGAGGATAGCTGTTAATATAATTGTATAGTAAAATAAATTACTTCATTCTATGTTATTAAAGGCACTTCGGGTGCTCATCCCTTTCAATGACTGGGGACATAGAAGCCTGTCTATCTATGCAGAGCCTTTTGACAAAATTATTCACACACAGAGTCATTTTGGTATGTCCAACTAAATTTTATATTAAGTTTTTACTGGCATTGATTATTTTTCTTTAAAAAAAACCTCTATTCACATAATGTGAAAGAGTTACTATTAAGCAGTTCTTTTATTTGGGACTTTAGGAAGCTATCAGTACTTTAAGGTAAAATTTTTAAGACCAAAACATTTCCAGGTAGTATATTTCTTCTTTTTTTATGGCCATTTCACAGATCTAGGAGACTGTGGAAAACATTACGGAATAGCAGAAATTCCTTGAAAGGTGGGAAGGGTAGCACTCTACAGAAAGACACTGGAGAGAGAATAAAGCAACTTTACAACAATAAGAAATGAATTTAATTAGTATCATAATGGACCCTGCGGTACTTGAGATTTTTCCGGAGATTTTCTTTTGCCATACAAGTAAAATTGACTCTGGAAATTATGGCATACTGTTTAAGAGAGGTGTATTTCATGGTTATTTAACTTAGCAATAAAGATAATTATAGGTTTATGCCTAACACTTTTATCTTGTTTGATTATTGACAGACCTATTGCATTGATCTTAAACATATTTGCACTAAGTGCTGTAGATTGCTGTTAAGTCAATACAGTGTCTGGAAAGCAATTAAATTCTAGGGGCTGAATTCTCCTGCTGGAGTCTAAGAGTCATTCCTGTTGAATACAGAGGAAGCTATTTGTATCCTGTGGCTGGAGTGTCAGGCTCTAAGATTTCACAGTTTCAACAGCGTGTAACACTGACAGATCCCGGGCATCGTCAGGCGAGATTGAACCTGGGGTCTCTGGAGCTTAGTGCATGAGTCTCTACTGCATGAGCTAAAAGCCAACTGGCTTTTAGCTAAGGCTGTAGAACAGACTAATTAATCTCTAAGTGGTCTTGGTGCCACTAGAGAGGACAGAACACCACACCCAGGAAGTGTGTGGGTTACATTTGCCGTCATAGATATGTAATATGTATTTTATTCTAGCTTTAAGTTTGGCATTGTTACATTAGCCCATTCATGTCTGGTCCTTTGTTGTACCTGATGTGATTCTAGTAAATTTTCTAGAAACTAGAAAACAGATCTGGTCCAGAAAATGCTATCAAACTTGCTGCAGCACAGGGCCCTGAGTCATGGAAGACCCCACATCACCAGGAACAAGTTGAAATGCCAGTATGGTATTTACTGCTTATGCTCCAGTGACACGTGTTGTAGAGTAAGTGTTGTTTTATATGCAGAGCTCTGTGATAAACTAAGTCCTTGGGGTATCAGGTTGTCTCCCTTGGTCTGGGCACATTACAGGTCAAGCACCTCCTTGTGTTTAACAGGAAAACTCCATTCCCTGTGTCTCTCAAGAAACATATATCAGTTCTGGACACATTTCCCATTGCTTCCCTTGACATGGCAGAATAGTTTGGCTGCACGTGAAGGGGTGGGAGAAGATTCCACACACAAACTTGGCCTTGTAGTTGGAATCCAATTGAACAGCGGTCCAAGAGATACCACGTTGGCTTGAATCAGCTTCGTAAAAATAATGGAATGCTAGGGCACATTCAGCACTGCAGCAGGAACATTGGGCAGGAGTCTGGAAGATAAGAGGTTGTTGGTTACTCACTTTTTAGAGGTGGGGAGGTGGTAACTTTTGCCCCATGTTTCTGATAAATGTTCAGAAAGTCCCAGAATACATCTGTGGTAAAGCCCTGAGAACCTCCATTTTTCGTTGCTTTATTCTTCCCTCAGTACTGAAAGCCTCATGTCAAAGTCACCATCCTTTGACAGGGAAGTACTGGACACTTGTTTGATAATTATGGGATACTTAAGTCTGGTGAGCTTTATAGTCCTTCTAAGCCTGGCATATTCTCATCTCTCTCAAAAATATAAAACCATGAAACTTATATGGACTATTACTTGTAATATTTCTAAGTTCTACCTGAAACTTGGACCCCCTCCTTCCCTCTCTATCCCTGAAAGTTCTCTCCTGTCCTACTTCATCATTCTGGCAAGAATTTACTGTTCTTAAAGTAGTTACTCTGGATGGCATCAGCAGTGGTGACCATGAGATGGTTGAGTTCAGGATCCTGACAAAAGGAAGAAAGGGGAGCAGCAGAATACCAACCCTGGACTTCAGAAAAGCCGACTTTGACTCTCTCAGAGAACTGATGGGCAGCATCCCCTAAGAGGCTAATATGAGGGGGAAAGGAGTACAGGAGAGCTGGCTTTATTTTAAAGAAGCCTTATTGAGGGTGCAGGAACAAACCATCCCGATGGGCAGAAAGAATAGCAAATATGACAGGCGACCAGCGTGGCTTTATGGAGAAATCTCTGATGAGCTTAAACACAAAAAGGAAGTTTACAAGAAGTGGAAACTTGGACAGATGAATAGGGAGGAGTATAAAAATATTGCTCGAGCATACAGGACATGGAAGGGAGGCCAAAGCACAACTGGAGTTGCAACTAGCAAGGGATGTGTAGGGTAACAAGAAGGGTTTCTACAGGAATGTTAGCAACAAGAAGAAGGTCAGGGAAAGTGTGGGACCCTTACTGAATGGGGGAGGCAACCTAGTAACATCCCAGATGTTTGGAAAAAAGCAAATATAGTGCCAATCTTTTAAAAAGGGAAGAAGGAGAATCCGGGGAACTACAGATTGGTCAGCCTCACCTCAATCCCTGGAAAAATCATGGAGCAGGTCCTCAAGGAATCCATTTTGAAGCACTTGGAGGAGAGGAAGGTGATCAGGAACAGTCAACATGGATTCACCAAGGGCAAGTCATGCCTCACCAACCTGATTGCCTTCTATGATGAGACAACTGGATCTGTGGATCTGGGGAAAGCAGTGGATATGATATATCTTGACTTTAGCAAAGCTTTTGATATGGTCTCCCACAGTATTCTTGCCAGCAAGTTAAAAAAGTATGGATTGGATGAATGGACTATAAGGTGGATAGAAAGGTGGATAGATTGTCGGGCTCAATGGGTAATGATCAATGGCTTGATGTCTAGTTGGCAGCCGGCATGAAGTGGAGTGCTCCAGGGGTCTGTCCTGGGGCCGATTTTCTTCAACATCTTCATTAATGATCTGGATGATGGGATGGATTGCACCCTCAGCAAGTTTACAGATGACACTAAGCTGGGGGGAGAGTTAGATACACTGGAGGGTAGGGATAGGGTCCAGAGTGACCTAGACAAATTAGAGGATTGGGTTAAAAGAAATCTGATGAGGTTCAACAAGGACAAATGCAGAGTCCTGCACTTAGGACGGAAGAATCCCATGCACTGCTACAGGCTGCGGACCAACTGGGTAAGCAGCAATTCTGCAGAAAAGTACCTGGGGATTACAGTGGACGAGAAGCTGGATATGAGTCAATAGTGTGCCCTTGTTGCCAAGAAGGCTAACGGCATATTGGGCTGCATTAGTAAGAGCATTGCCAGCAGATCAAGGGAAGTGATTATTCCCCTCTATTCGGCACTGGTTAGGCCACATCTGGAATAGTGTGTCCAGTTTTGGGCCCCCACTACAGAAAGGATGATTTATGAGAAGAGGCTAAGGGAACTGGGCTTATTTAGTCTGCAGAAGAGAAGAGTAAAGGGGGGATTTGATAGCTGCCATCAACTACCTGAAGGGGGGTTCCAAAGAGTATGGAGCTAGGCTGTTCTCAGTGGTGGCAGATGACAGAACAAGGAGCAATGGTCTCAAGTTGCAGTGGGGGAGGTCTAGGTTGGCTGTTAGGAAAAACTGTTTCACTAGGAGGGTCGTGAAGCACTGGAATTGGTTACCTAGGGAGGTGGTGGAATCTCCATCTTTAGAGGTTTTTAAGGCCCAGCTTGACAAAGCCATGGCTGGGATGATTTAGTTGGGGTTGGTCCTGCTTTGAGCAGGGGGTTGGACTAGATGACCTCCTGCGGTCTCTTCCAACCCTAATCTTCTATGATTCTATGAAACATTATTTCAGCTATTTCAGCAGTACATTTGCAAATTTAGATGATTTGGAACTTTCTGAATTTACACCCAAGAAGTTGGGAACTGTGGCTGAAATCCTGTCTTCATTAAAGTCAGCAGGAACTTTGTCAATGACTTCAGTGGGGTCAGGGTTTCACCCTGTGTATTCTTCTTTCAAGAACAAGGCCCTCCAGTTGTTCTGTCTTTGAATCTGGCAACACTGGACAATTGGTGTGCTGAAACATCCAAGGAAAGTTTTAGGTGACAATGGGTATCATTCAATCCTGGCTGGCTCGTTACAATGAGGTGCAGGAAAAACTAAATTAGAATCATAGAATATCAGGGTTGGAAGGGACCTCAGGAGGTCATCTAGTCCAACCCCCTGCTCAAAGCAGGACCAATCCTGCTTTCCCAGTTTCCCATCTCTCCCCTCAAGTTACAATACAAAAGGCACTGATTGTGAAACTAATCCTCAGAGGAGTTGTATATGCCCAGCACTTCTGAGGACAGTCCCTTAAGCAAAATTAGACAGTTCTGTGTGAGACTTATTTTTAAAGGAGGGAAGAAATTGGAAGAAAAATATCATTTCATGGTGGAAGACTACAGAAAGATACACAAACTTCCATTCTGCAATTCTATCAGTTTGCATCTCTCTGATGAGAAGTGTACTAATATCAGCCAAAAATGGAAATAATATAGTTAATTTATTACAAAAAAGATTACATTAGCTATTCTGTAACTTACATAAAAACATCTGAAAATGAGCCATTAGAGCAAAGGTTAGTAAATTGAAAGCAAGAACTATGTATTGCAAATCTTCTCTTGTGTACAATAGCTCATTGTCTTTAATTCCGTTTGTGTTAACTTTATGCCTTATTTACTCATGAAATCATCTGAAGGACCTGATTCTCCACTACCTTGTAGCTTATGTAGTTATTTACATTTGTACCTACAGAGGGTATGAGACAGTGGAGAATCAGGCCTTCATTGTCTCTTTTTTCTAAATCAAATAAATATCTTGTAATAAAATCTTCTAAACAATGCTGAGTTTTAAATGTAACTGTATTTAATTTATAGTTTTTCACCTTTGAACAATACAAGAAATTACTAGGACATGCTTCACTATCACCAGGATTGGTAAGTGTGAATACATAATTAGGGTTTTCGTTCATTTAAGGAAATATTGGATGTCCCTCTACCCTTCCCCAAAAGTAAAAGGACCAAGATACTTAGCGTGATGCCCGTGTGAAATACAACAGAAAAAACATGCCAGGTATCTGAGCTGCAGATAGCAGAAATGAAGGTGTTGCCTTGCAAAACATAGGAAGGGTCCAAAAGTATAATGTGTGATATCTTGGAAAAATCAATAAGTTACCATAGTAAATACATTTCAGTTGCAGCTGGTCAAAAAATGGAAAAACTCATTTTGTAAAAAAATTTCTAAGTTTCAAAGTTTTCATTTTGAAGTGGTCAAAACATTGTTTATTTTTCAATATTTTTGGAAATATATTTATCAAAGACACCATTGAAAATGTGATTGAAATGGTTAGTGACATTTTTTGATTATCAAAACCCAGCTTTTCATTAAATGAAGATCTTGCTAACCTTTTCAGCAACTTTTTTTGGTAAACAAAAAACGTCAACAACCATTTTTATATCATTTTCTATAATATTTTCAATAACAAATGTGAAAAAGTGGCACGATGCTGTTTTCTGGGGAAAATGAAGAATGTCAACAATTTTCATGGTTTTTTTTAAAAGGCTATTTTTAATTGAAAATTTTTGTCTGAAAAATTTCAACCAGATTTCATTTCGATGTTTCTACTTTTAATCTCTTGCCTCCTGTCTACTCCCTTTTAAAAAGATTTTGGCATGCATAAAACACCTCACACTTTGTAGAGACACCTGTATTCTGTTTATAATAATCCATGTATCTGAGTTTTAAGCAAGACTAAAAAAATGTGAACTACTTGGAAAAGGGTATGTAATAAATAATAAAATCCTGAACATCTGGATTATAGATTTTGTGGTCAGGTGAGTTTGGGATTAGAATTCTTTTTACAGTTTTGGTTCCTGGGATGGAAGTTTGTGATAGACAAAGAAAATATATGGTTACTTGTCTTGTAAGAATAAGTGCCCTATATTAGACTATACTGAGCCTGCTAAAGGGTGTAAAAATAGAGAGGAAACCTTTAGTTTATCGTTACCCCAGGTACTGTCTGTGTGAAACAACATGCTCTTGCCCTTCTCATGCAGGATGGTAAACTCTTCACATGAAACTTCCTCCTCCTAAGTACTCCATTGGTGCCATGGTTGTTTACAGTCCCCTCATGTTGTCAGCAAACTCCCCCTTTCTTAATGTACAATGGAGAAGCTGTCATTTGCATCCCTGGCAAGTGGAAAGAGCAGGTTTCAGGTTTTTTGGTGTATTGCCACCCTTTTCCAAGAACAGCATGGTGAAAACTAGTAAACATAACAGCGTACGTTCTTAACAAAGAGCAGCTTTGATTCGTATAGCAGCTGTACTGGGCAACAAACATCCCAATAATTTTTTTAATGAATAATGCCGCTTTCATTACATTGCTATCGTTTTCAGTTACACTTAGGGCTCTCTTGTGTCTTAAATGCCATAGCCATTGGGGGTGGGGAGGAGAAGAGGAATCCTAGAGGTTTTCTATATACCTCCAGGCTGAGGCAAGTGGAATACCTCCAGGTCTTCTGGTGGAGTTCATTTCCCACTGAAAAGGAGAAACAAGTGTTCCCACCCTCTTCCCCTTGGCTTCAGACCGACAACTGCTAATGAAGGGGTGGGGCCATGCTCCCATCCCATGAGGGAAATATAGCCCTACTGGCAGCATGGCCAGTGTTCCGGGTGCAGAATGACTGGGACAGAGACTGCCTCTGTATAAGTGAACAAAGGGTTAAAGGCTCCTGCCACCCTCTCCCTTCTTGAACATTCAGAGTCAGTCACCGTCTGGCCCCCTGTGAGCTGAATGGAAAGTTTTCCTGACTATTGCTTTCCTCCCACCATGGTTCTTTTCCTATTTCAGCCAGTTTACTCATATACTATGCTGTGGATTTAAGGTGGTAGAGGAGCGGCTTATACGTGGCTGGCACTAGAGATTAAAATAAAGAAACAAACAGCCCAAGATTAATTATTTTGAATTTTCTTAACTGCTCTGAAACTTAGCTGTTGTTTATCGATTATGAACAAAGTAAACCATTTTTTATCTTTCTAAATTTGGCGTATTCTACCTGAGTGCAAAGCACAGGCCTTACTCAGGGCCATACTGTGCCATTGATCTTTTGAGCAGATGAGGTGAATTCACCCCAGTGAAGGGGGCCAGCACCAGCCCTCTGCACCACTTAAGTACCACTTAAGTCATCTCAAGGTTGAAATTTACCTATGGAGAATTTTCCTTCTAAGTGGGCATTTTGCTTGAGTAAGTGCTTCACAATTTAGCCTGGAATATTCATTACTTTTACTATATTTTAAGTGCATTTGATTTAATGCTGAATACACAGAAGTTTTTTTAAGTATTACATAGCTACATCTATATTTTAAAAAACCAAAATTATTATTTATTGCATTCAAACTCCACCCAAATATAACATGGGAACATTATTTTTCCATGTATGCATCTTAAAGCAGTAACACAGCTTTCCTTCCAGCTAGAGAGAATTCATTGTTGATAGGACTTTGACGTTTTATTTTGAATTTTTGGAATGTGGTTTTGGTTTTTGTAATTTCTTCTTCATGAACTGTCAACATCAAATCAAGGGCTAAAGCTGTTTAGTAATGGTATACTGCTGCATTAGTGAAGGTCTCTCCATTTTCATCATATCATTCAGCTTCATCATGTGATGTATGAGACATTTTACAACAGTGCTCATGAAAACTTGATTTTTAAGTATTGATTGATTTAATTTCCCTAGACGTTTGCAGTTGCTGGTCTGGGATCTGGATTAACAGAAGCAGTTGTGGTTAACCCATTTGAAGTAGTAAAGGTTAGCTTACAGGCAAATCGGAATGCTTTCACAGAGGTATGGTAACTATTCCATTCTTTTTTCAATACTTTGTTAAATATAAGAAATACTTTAAAAGTTAATTTTAATATTTAATCAGACTCTATATGCTCATTGTAGAAAACTTTCTCTGAGGCTGTTTGGATGAAATAATGCTATTCCCTCTAAGCAATGCTATTTTAACAAAGGTGGAATAGGAAACTTTGCTGACAAAATAATAAATATAGGGAAAGTACCTAGTTGCACATTAGGAGCCAGATGTTTTACTCCTCTTTGTGATGCTCTTACAACACCCATATAAGATACGAAAATACTGTTATCGCCATATTACAGATGGGGAACTGGGGCATAGAAAGAGGTTAAGTGACTTGCCTAAGGTTACACAGAAAGTACACAGAGCAGGGACTTGAACCTATGTCTTCTGTAGCCTAGGTTAACACTCTAACCCATGGACCCTCCTTCCTCCATGGTCAATAGGGCCACAGAGAATACTGTATGGAAAGTAAAGCAATTGGGGAGCTGGAAAGGTGATTAATGAAAAGATCTTTCTCTCTCTCTCTCGTTCTCTCGTATGACATGCTCTGTAATATGAAAAAATTGTGAACCAGTATTACAATCTGTCAGTTCCATGAACAAATAATCAGACCTTCTCTATACCTCTGCAGACATAATTGGCCTGCCTCGATACAAACTTTTCCTTTTGAGTATAAATGTATTAATACCATATTGTGAGCAAACTAGTTCCAGCAGCACTAAATGGGAACACAACATCCTCTCCGCACATAAATTCCAGAGACTTTATTCTCCCTCACAGGGTTTTTAATCCACCTCACTGCTTTTCTTTGCAGTGAGTTATAATTAATTATTACCCCCCCCAAATGAAACCTATATCCTCTACGTTTTTCTCCTCTGATCTTCAAAAAAATAAAATAAAAAAATCAGTGATATTCCTCATAGTAATTGTTCTAGAAAATCAAAGCTTCAATTTTTGAAATCAAAGCTCTTGAGCTTAAAAAAAGGAATCAAAATACACTGATGATTAATGAAAATGCTAACAATGCCCTAATTGCAGTACTATGGTTATGTCATAGTCATTCATGTAAAATTTTCAAAAGCACCTAAATGAGCACCTAGGGACCTAATTCCCATTGAAAATCAAATAAGTTTTTATTTGTCCTCTTGAAAAAAAAAGTAAATGGGACTGAGTCACTTAGGTGCTTTGTAAGTTTTACTAACATTTTATGTAACTAAAAATATAATGCCAGATATTCCACTGGTGTAAATTGGCTGAACTCTATTCACTATACAACCTAGATGGAGCTACTATAAGGTGGGTGCATAACTGGTTGGAAAATCGTTCCCGGAGAGTAGTTATCAGTGGTTCACAGTCATACTGGAAGGGCATAACGAGTGGGGTCCCGCAGGGATCAGTTCTAGGTCCAGTTCTATTCAATATCTTCATCAATGATTTCAAAAATGGCATAGAGAGTAACTTATAAAGTTTGCAGACAATACCGCTGGGAGGGGTTGCAAGTGCTTTGGAGGATAGGTTTACAATTCAAAGTGATCTGGACAAACTGGAGAAATGGTCTGAAGTAAATAGGATGAAATTCAAAAAGAACAAACACAAAGTGCTCCACTTAGGAAGGAACAATCAGTTGCGCACATACAAAATGGGAAATGACTTCCTAAAAAGGAATACTGAGGAAAGGGATCTGGGGGTCATAGTGGATCACAAGCTAAATATGAGTCAACAGTGTAGCACTGTTGAAAAAAAAAGCAAACATCATTCTGGAATGTATTAGCAGGAATATTGTAAGCAAGACATGAGAAGTAATTCTTCCGCTCTACTCCGCGCCGATTAGGCCTCAGCTGGAGTATTGTGTCCAGTTCTGGGTGCCACATTTCAGGAAAGATTTGGACAAATTGGAGAAAATCCAGAGAAGAGCAACAGAAATTATTAAAGGTCTAGAAAACATGACCTATGAGAAAAGATGGAAAAAATTGGGTTTGCTTAGTCTGGAGAAGAGAAGACTGAGAGGGGACATGATAACAGTTTTCAAGAACATAAAAGGTTGTTACAAGAAGGAGGGAGAAAAATTGTTGTTCTTAACTTCTGAGGTTAGGACAAGAAGCAATGGGCTTAAATTGCAGCAAGGGCGGTTAAGGTTGGACATTAGGAAAAGCTTCCTAACTGTCAGGGTGGTTAAGCACGGGAATAAATTGCCTAGGGAGGTTGTGGAATCTCCATCACTGAGGATTTTTAAGAGCAGGTTGGACAAACACCTGTCAGGGATGGTCTAGATGAGCGGTGTCCAATACGTTCACCACTAGCCACATGTGGCTAGTAGGCTATTGAATTGTGGCTAATGCATGTGGCTTTTTTATAATGTGGCTAATAAGAAAAATTCAAAACCACAAGTATGGCTAGCAGTGTGGCTAGCATCAAATTTCTATTGGACACCATTGGTCTAGATAATACTTAGTCCTACCACTCGAGGTCCTTTCCAGTTCCATTATTCTATGATTTTATGACTTCAATAGAGCTGTGTTGACTTCTACCAGTTGAGGATCTGTCACATTCCTGTTTGAATATGCTAAAAGAGATGTCAGAAATAGAAGACATTATATTTTTTCTTTTAAAAATTCTTAACTTACCAAAACCCAGACCTATTTCCTCATGACTAGCATATTCTTGTTACTACCTACTATATGATGTGTCTTCACTCTGTAACAACGCAGCGTTTTTCTAAAAGGATTAAGCAGTGTCTGCACTTATCCCATTGTGTAGTTCATGCCATGTGATGAAACTTAATTCAATTTACATATTATGTTGGCTGTTACCTTTAAATAAGAAATACAGCCTGTTTCAAGGAACAAAGGAGACTGCACACCAATAGTGTGCTGACTATTGGATTGTTCTGTGATATCTGAGCATCTTTCTGGGGTCTGTTGGTTTAAAGAGGAAGACCCCCAGATTTGACACACCAGCACTCTGACATCATGGAATTCCCCTAATAGAAACACTGCAGTGGGTATTTATCAATGGCCAAATGCTAGCAGCCGTACACATTGGATCTTTTCAGGTTTCAAAAGCTAACCAAGGTCAGAGCTGTGCTTTGCCAACGAAAATCTTCTGCTGCCAAAACTGGCATCAGGTGTTCAGCAGCTGGCATCCCTTCCCCTCTGAGTCATTAGTAAATCAATAATCCAGCTTAATGCCAGTGGGCACTGTATTGTTGAAGTTGCCTTCTTTAGCAGAGACTTGAAACTGAGTTCATGACTGCTGGTTATCTTTAAAGATCCAGTCTGAATTTTTCCAAGAGCAAAGACATTAATCCTAGTCTCCTGATCAAATTCCAGTTTGAATATCTGCATTCAGTGTATAGATGCTCATCTATAGTAAAGAGCTTTGATATCTTTGTGTGTAGCTACAAAAGTAAATCATTATGATAAAATAGGGTTGGTTTGTTTTTTATTTCTACAGACAGAGATGGATAGCAGAGCATCAGCGGGTCAATATTAGTTACTAAATATGCAAAGGACAAATGAACCTAAATAGTAAAAGAAAAGAAAACTTGGCTGTAACCTAAATAAGCAGTAACCTGTTGTGTTGGGTATAATTGGGATCATTTGGCTGATGATGTTGATCTGCCAGGGTGATATTTTAAAATGGAAGCCCATTAAACAAATATGTATATTGACATCAGCAGTGTTTACGGAGTTCTAGTCAAAACTGTTCTACATTTTCCTGTTTAAGCATCTTAGTGGAAGTAATGTTTTGCCTTTCTGATTAAATATTTGGTTATACAAAAGTGGCATTATGTTTTAGTGAAAACCAAGGACAAGTCAGCAAACAGGCTTTTTAAATGACCTTTTTAATACTTGTGACTTGAAGCAAAGAGCTAAAATGTTAATGTTAACCTGTGAAAGTAATTCACTGTACCAAATCTAGTACAATACATTTGGGAACACTGGACTTGCCATGTGGTATCAAATGTGCATCTATTCTGATGGCCTGTCAAACAGCAGCCAATACCACATACCTCAAAGGAAGGTGCTAGAATCTTTGTAATGGATACTTAGGTAATAACCTGCCCATAGAGGAAATTTCTTCCTAGCGTCCATTAGTTAGTGGTTGTCTTATGCCCTGAACTAAGAAGGTTTCTATCCCTTGAGGCCAGGATTTTCAGAACAGGATATCTTAAATGAGATTCCTAAATCCAGGTTAGGGAATTTAAATAAGTGGCCTGATTTTCAAAATCCAACAGCTCCCATTAAAGTAAAATGTTTCATTAGAGAGGCAAACCATAATTTCCATTAGGACGCGTAAGCAGGAAAGTGGAGAACCATTTTGACTAGATCGCAAACACTAATTTCAATATACTTATAATAAATATAGACCAAGATTTTCAAAATAATTTGCCTAAAGTTAGGCTCTTAAATCCATACAGAGGCATTTTCAAATACACTTTGTATGTGGCTTTTCATCTACTGCAACCTTAGCAACACAGCGTCTCTGCTGATAACAGTATTGCCAACTCCACGCATTCAAAAATTATGAGTTGGACAACAAAAATTCATGAGATTGGTATAAGGATCATGAGATTTCAAAACATAAGAATTTTGGGGTCTTTTCCTTCACCTCCTGGTTTCTGAGCCCTTAGGACACATTTGGATCATGGTTTCAAGCTTTTCTCTGCAATCATGAGGGTTAGAAACTTTTTTTTTTCAATGAAAGTTGTGATTCTCACATAACCTCAAGATTCCAGGGGCTGGGCTTTGAGAAAACGCACCAAATATTTTGAGACTTGTGATAAAATCACAAGAGTTGGTAACACGTTGATAGTGGTCTGGTTTGAAATGAGGCTCTGTGGATAGTTTACTACACTTACTGTTTGTAAAAATTATTTCTTCTTTCTTTTGTTTTACATGTGCAGCAACCATCAACCTTTGTCCAAGCACGGCGAATTATTACAACTGATGGCTTAGGATTCCGTGGACTCAACAAAGGCCTCACTGCAACATTGGGCCGCCATGGAGTTTTTAATATGGTTTACTTTGGATTCTACTTCAACGTCAAAAACATTATTCCAGTCAATGAGGTAAGTGTTTTGTACTGTATGAAAGACAAAAAGATAGTCATAAACAGGGCAATTTAATTGAAATTCTACCTTTCCTTGCAAAGCTGTGGTCTTTTCAGAGAGACATTTTGCTTCATTTTGTCTATTTTTGGGAGTCCTACAAAGTTTTATTAGAAAGATTATTTTCTGTAGCAAAACAAGAATTGGCAATTCTCACTTTTTAAGCAAAGTGAGCTACAAGGAATTCTTTAAAATATGAATGGCCAAATTCTCATTTACATGAAGGCCATTTTGCACCTTTCTGGCAGCATAATGATGCTAAGAAATGGGAGTAAATTACATTTATATTTACATTGCGCTCCTTAGTTTGAATACCGTTCACTAGTTTACATATTTTTAGAGTATCGTAAATTTCAAAATATGAAAAGTCAGATTCTCTTAAGGACATGGAGGGTCAGGTCTGTCTTCTAGGAAATAATGAAGAGTTCCTGCCTGCTAGTCAAGGGATAGTGATAGGATTTGGCATAACAACCATTTACTAACTTTTTAGAGTAAAATAAAATGTCATAAAAAGCTGTTATTGCATTATGAGGGAGAGGACAGTTCAGAGTTTGTATAGATTTTGTATGATGCAATGAATTATTCAGATCTGGAGACATATATTTTATGTATGATTTTAAATCTAAGGGAAGTGAGTCTGCTGGCCAGAATCCACCTACTTGTCCTCAGTATACAAATACACCACAATCAGAAGACAGACATCTTCAAGGGTGTAGCCAGTTACAGGATTAGGTTGCATTAACTACAATTGTGTAGAGAAGTTTGCACAGGGCCTGACCACAATAGGTCTGACCCAAATCTCATTGAAGTCAGTGAGAATCTTTCCACTGATTTCAGTGGAAGTTGGATCAGGCCTAAAATTCCAGCTGTGGTCTAATATGCAAGCGTTATGTCTCACATATTCGTGAACAAAGAACTCCAGCATTTGGAGAACAGAAAAAATCAATAATTCTTTGTAATTTGTAATCTAATCCTTTTTCATCAGTGGGAAAGCAATATAGATGCCAACAATTATCAAATGTCTGACGGGCTTGATAAAATAAGCTGTTTCTCAGTTGGAGCTGAAAAGAGTAGACTGTTTCATCTTTTCAATTATTCTCAAGTATTTCATCGTGAAAACCAATTTTTTCATTTCATGTGCTTCTCAAGAAGAAAAACTCAAAGTAAGTCTTGTAATGCTGACAAGCATATAAAAACTGTGAAATAAAAATGGTACACTTTTTAAATAGCTCTGGCTCTTTACTATATATCTGCTGCTTACCATCTGTAACGTAAGTGGAAAAATGTATCGAAATCTCCATATAAGCCTTTTAGCTGTCAACAGTGTTAAGCTATGCATTAAATTTGCATCCCAATTAAGGATGTTTGCAGCTTATTTTGCCAAAAACAATAAATCTTTTGTGTTGAGTGCCTGAATGATATAAATGACATGTGTGGGTTGTAAGTCTTCAAAGTGAATAGTTTTTCATATGTTCAGTCTATTTTGTTAAACACGCCATTTACAATCAACCTCCTGCTCTGTTTACTAAAAACAGAATAAATCAGACTTGTTCTATTCACCACAGAGTATTAGTTTCTATACATCTGCACTAGCAATTGAATTGGTTTGTAATTTATTTCACCTTGAAATTTCTTGATTTTATAGCAGTTTGTTTATGCTACACATTTCATAGACTTCCAATAGATGTTCCTTTGCTATTTTTATCATAGTTAGATCTGTTGGTAAATGTTAATTTCAGAATAACAAGTAAAATATTTGCTCACTACTACCTCTAAGTGGCAGTCACCCACCTTAACACTGCATTCCTAAGACTCTCATAAGTCCTAAAAAGTGGCCACCAAAAAAATTCATTTCTGGGCACAAATTGATCTATCCAGCTGCTGCAGGTGTATGCTGTGTCACCTGTTAAAGGGGCTTTTGTGCCCAGATATGGGAGCTGATGAGTCAGTTGCTATGTCACAGAAAGGGCTCCCCTATCTATTCTATTCTACATAGGTTCTTACAGTGTGCTCGTCACTGTGGTATCTGAGCACCTTCCAATAGTGCATTAATCACATTAAGCAATGTGATTACACATCTGTCACGTGGCAATTTTTCTCTCATTGGCTTCCCAGAGGGAGAAGTGTGTTCAGGAGGGTGTCTTGTTTTGATAGTGTGATGGAGGTTCTTTGTAATATATCTATACCTGTCGTGATGTGTTTATATTAGAGAAGGCAAGGTCAAACAAATGTGCCTTGCACTTGAAGCAGAAAGTGGTGAAGTTTGTGCTGACCCTTAGTTTTGAGGGAGTTCATTCCACAGTCTCTGACCACCCCCAGAGAAAGTTTTTTCTTCTGCACAGACAAACTTTACTGTTATTGTTCAGAGTTCCATTGTGCCTGAGAAGCATAGTTGTTGACCACGGTCTTCATCCCAGATCTTTTAGATTCCCCAGACCATGGAGCACTTTGAAGATAAGGACTGAGACCTTGAACTTGATTCTTGATTCTGTGGACAGCCAGTATAGAGAGCAGAGGACAGGTCTGATGTACTCACAGGAGCCTGTGTTGCTGAGGAGACACTCTGCAGCATTCTATATTAGTTGGCGTTTTCTAAATGCTGAACGTTTTATGACCAGATACATTGCTTTGCTGTAATCCAGTGGGAGGTGACAAAGGGATGAATGACAGAGGCCATGTCTTTGTCCTCCAGGATGGCACGGAGTCTCCTAGCCAAGAGAAGAAGATAGTAAGCAATTCTTGTGAATGCTGCTATGTGAAAGCTCAGTGCCAGCAAGGAATCCAAGAATGTTCCTAGTCAGTTGACTGGACTGATCATTTGTGGGTGTGTATCGTCCATCAACAGAGCCACACATTCTGCAGAATGCTTTCCTCTGCCCACCAGTATCAGCTCTGTCTTGCTCAGGTTGAGCTTCAGTTTCAGCCCGCAAAGAAGAGGCAGCAAAACCTGAGTGCTAAATTTGAAAAACAATAAAAGTCATGCAAGAATATGAGAGCAGAAGAATTTTCTTTTAGTTGTACGCTACCCAGGACATTTTAAGAAACAGAGAAGCCCAATGTGGGGGGGAAATTCTTGTTAGTGCAAAGTGCTGTAAAAAATCTGAGGCAGAGGATGATTATGAGGCATGTTGGAGGAGACTGGGAAGGAATGGTATTTCTCAGAGCTACAGCCCACCCTGAAATTCCCACATGTGATGTGAATTAGCAGGACTAAGACAATGTTGTACCTGAAACATAGTCACCCACCATCTCATTTGTCCAGGACCGTCCTGCAAGCTGTGACAGCTGCAGCCTGGGTTGCTTTAAGTCTGCAAACATGTCTTCCCCCCACCAGGAGATGCTATATTGAAAGGGAAGAGAGTCTGGCTAGTGAGTGCTTCTGCCTCAGTTACTCCAGTTCTGATGTCTCAGTACAGAGTTACTTAGGCAAGGAGCATGGCAAAGCAGAAGAATCAGGCCCACAGCCATATGGGGGAAGGAGGGGACAAAGCACAGCTGGGCATACAGGAGAGAGAAATTTTGACAAACTAAAAATTGGATGCAAACCAGACCCTTTTAAAAAATGTGGTCTCTGTTTTCTGACCAGCTGCACAAAGACATTGGAGACAGAGGGCAGAGACAGGGACATAGGATGTAGGGTGACGAGGTGGAAAAACCAGGGCATTTTTTCTAGTGGAGGGGACTCGGAGAGATTGATTTTGATGGGCTCAGGGAACAGTGCACCAAAAGGGTTTTGATGGCTGTGAGGGCAAGAGGTTGCCCACACCTGCTTTTTATATTTTTTATGCTCCCTTCTTCTATTTTTCCTTTTCATTACTTCCTACAAAAAACTTGACAATGGTCATGCTGCTGGTGCATTGATACCACTGCCTTACCCATGCTGACCAGTATTGTTTCTTTGTACTACCTCATCTGTCTGTCTGTATTCATTTCTTGTCTCATCTTATACTTAGATTGTAAGCACTTTGTGGCAGGGACAATTTTTTGGTCTGTGTTTGTACAGCACCTAACACAATGGGGTCCTTGGTCCATGACTAGGGTTCCCAGGGCTCTACAGTAATATAAATAATAAACTGAATTCATACCAAATCTGGATTAAAAAGAAAGGAGTTGTGTATTTCACTGGGAATTTGCACTGTGAGAAACTCCCAAGGCTGAAAAACAAATCACTCTGAGGGTATGTCTACACTACGGAATAAGGTCAAATTTATAGAAATCGGTGTTTTAGAAATCGGTTTTATATATTCGAGTGTGTGTGTCCCCACAGAAAATGCTCTAAGTGCATTAAGTACATTAACTCGGTGGAGTGCTTCCACAGTACCGAGGCAAGCGTCGACTTCCGGAGCGTTGCACTGTGGGTAGCTATCCCACAGTTCCCGCAGTCTCCGCTGCCCATTGGAATTCTGGGTTGAGATCCCAATGCCTGATGGGGCTAAAACATTGTCGCGGGTGGTTCTGGGTACATATCATCAGGCCCCCGTTCCCTCCCTCCCTCCGTGAAAGCAAGGGCAGACAATCGTTTCTCGCCTTTTTTCCTGAGTTACCTGTGCAGACGCCATACCATGGCAAGCATGGAGCCCGCTCAGGTAACCGTCACTGTATATCTCCTGGGTGCTCGCAGACACGGTACTGCATTGCTACACAGTAGCAGCAACCCATTGCCTTGTGGCAGCAGACGGTGCAATATGACTGGTAGCCGTCATCGTCATGTCCGAGGTGCTCCTGGCCACGTCGGCCAGGAGCGCCTGGGCAGACATGGGCGCAGGGACTAAATTTGGAGTGACTTGACCAGGTCATTCTGTTTAGTCCTGCAGTCAGTCCTATTGAACCATCTTATGGTGAGCAGGCAGGCGATATGGATTGCTAGCAGTCGTACTGTACCATCTTCTGCCAGGCAGGCAAGAGATGAGGATGGCTAGCAGTCGTATTGCACCATCTTTTGCCGAGCAGCCATGAGATGT